TCTCTCTCTCTCTCTCTCTCTTTTTCTCTCTCTATCTTTCCCTCGATCGCTTTACTTCTTCAAGCTTGACTACCTCTCTCGCGTTATCTCCTCCGCCTTCTGTTTTTACCTTCCGAACCGCACACGATTTTCCTTCGACCCTACCAAGGCGATACGACAACCGACGCGCACTCCTTTCGCGAAACCTCGCCGAGTCCCTCTCCTCCCTCGATCCCGTAGTGTTTAAGTCGTCTCGCAGCTCCAGCTGCCGCCATTCTGGCCGCGAACCCGTGCGTCCCTGAGCACGACCGTCCGGCGATCGGCGCCCTCCATCGTGCACGCGGGCCCTGTAGCATGCGACGAGCCTGCCGCGGGCCCTCGACACGGAACTCGGAGGCTAAGTACGTCGAAACTGATGGTCGACGATCCGTAGGACCCGGCAGGTCCTGATTACGGTAGCAGCGGTGACGACGATAGCAGCAGAGTCACAGCAAAATGGAACGGATCACCGTTCTCTAGATGAGAAACGACAGATCTGAATGGACAACTCGAGAAGAGCAGTTGCAGTAGCCGGCAGACGAAGAGATCGTGAAACTGCGGTCCGTTCTTCGAGCACAGAACAAGAGGAACGCGGGGGAAGATTAAATACTGGACGCCTTGCGCGGCATCGAAGAACAGTATCAGAGAGAACACGTCGAAGAACGGATGAAGAAAGCAAGGGCTGTCGCAGCGAACGCGTAACAGCAGAGTGTCTGTGGTTTCGGGGTCCAAGCTCCACAAACGAATCGCAGGGAGAACTGAAGTGAGCGTTCCCCCGTGGTCGTGTATACTCGGTGGCGAGAAGAAAGTGAGGGAAGAAAAGGAAGAAACGTGACGGAACGAAAGAAGTTCCTTCTGTACGCGTGTGGACGCGTGTGCGTGTGTATACGATGCGTGAATGTGTCTGCCTATACTCGCAGAGAAGGAGAAGCGAAGCGAATCGAATATCGGAGGCGCGTGCGTCGCGTTCGACAGCTCGGAGCAGAGTGAGCGGTGCTGCCTGTACGTCGCGTCGATGACGATTCCGTTCGGCGTCCCAGCTCGGCTACCCTCGGCTCAGTTCGGCTGCTCTCCTCCGCGCTAGCGAACGGGGTACATAGACTGTACTCTGTGTACCCTATACGCGCGCGCTTTATACGGCACGATCTCTCTCGCTCGTTCTCCCGTTCGATGTTCCCCCTTTCTCGCTCCACAGCTATCCCTCCCTCTCGTGAATGTGTAATACAGTGTACAGGAGGATACGAAACGTACGCCCGTGGTTCTCAACGGCCGATCGAAACGGGTATTCGACGATGGCGAAGGCGACGAGGAAGACGTCGCCGGCGACGATCGATCCGCACCGTGTTTTCCAGCTTTTTCGGAAACCCGCGAACACGCGCGCGCGATCGGTCGCTCGCCGTGGCACGATAGGAACACGCGGACGCGTAGGAACCGGAGAAACACAGCATGTGGCCATCGATTACGCGTCCGGTGAAATTCCGCGGCCTTTCCACGGTAATTCTATTTTCCGAGCACCGCACTGCGCCGCGCCACCGCTCGGACGCGGGACAGGCTACGCCTACGCGATATCACGGCAGTGTAAAATTAACGAAAGGTAATTCTTGGCTTTCTTACTACGCCGAGTGGATTCGTTTTTTGCCGCTGGTACAGGTATGGAAGTTCGGTGGCCGGGACGCGACGCTAGCGAGGCCTCGAAGACGCGAGCTCGTTCCAGTGAGGTCTCGGCGGGTCGGACCAATCTGGGGGATGAATTTCGAGTGATTGAAACCGCTGAGTCGTTTCGTTTGAATTCTGGATGAAGGGAAATTTCGGTCGATCCTCCTGTAGAATAGACTGATTTAACACTACCAGACGAGTCAAAACGGCTTATTCCTGACTTCTTTCGATTATTGGAAAGACAAGGGTTTCATAGAAAATTCTTAAATGAATCGATGTAGTGATAAACAAACTAAAATATAAGTGAATCAGAATATTAGTAGTTTCTATAATAGAACGTGTTAATGATTTTCAAGCATCGTGAGACCAACCTCATGCCCAAGACGCTATTAAGAAACTTCAGAGACCTTGCCTCTTATTTTTCCCTCTAAAAGCTTCCAATCTTCAGACTGTGGATTATTGTACAATTGAACATATCAATGTTTTAAAACTTGTAATAAATATCCAAAATGGCATCTTGGATCAAAGTGGCGGAAGATATGAACGCTGCAACCAGTAGCGAAAACTGCGAAAAGGTTCGAAGTGTCTTCTTCAAATCCACTGCGAACAACGAAAATTCCAGTATCTGAGGCCAATCGATACTCGCGCGGGATCGCGCGCGACTCGAGCCCGTCGCTGCCCGTGTGCCGCAACATTGGGCGAAGATAAAAAGAGAAACTCCCTGTTGCAACGCGAGGACTCGAGCGAGCAGCTCAAAAATCCGCTCCTCTTGTAGCGCAATTAATATCAATTCCATGCGGAGTCATTGGAAACGCGGTCCGCTCTTTCCTCACTGAGAGTATTTTCGTTTCCCGAACAGCCGTGATAAGGTCATTTACGAATGCCCCGACTCGTAACCGGCTCGACGTTAAAAAGACAATCATCAGCGGAAGATTTCGGCCGCGAAACTGGACGCCGATCTCGTTCGCGTGCTCTCGCGAGTGACGAAGCAGCTCGAAAGTAATTAGAAACGCGCTCGTGACTCGAATCGACCAGACGCGTTCCTTTATTTAAATTAGCCTCGTTACGCTCGCTCGGCTGACGATTATTCGAGCGACATCGGCTCGACGGACCTTGTTGCCTTTGCAACAACATCGTTTCAATGGGAATTTTTAACAGAAAACAATTTCCAACTAAGGACTCCGCGAACTCTACCGCAGTAGCGGTCGCAGCATAGAGAGCAAGATTTCGATTTCGCTGAACGGAAGTCCGTAACGTTTCAATAGAAGATAGGCCGATCCTCTAGCAATAATAGGATATTCTCTAGCAATAGCAGGGAAAAATTGTTAATTACCTTATGTAAGGTTACTCAGGGTAATTAAGGATTATTGGTATGAATTAATATTTGTTACTAATTTGTATTTATGCATTCGCATATTTATTTATTATTTTTCAAGAAACACATATTTACTATTAGTAGATATCCCGTTTTTAACCCCTTGCCTTACAATACCGTGTCAAACTCGCCATGAAAATTTTGAATAGAATTTAATGTTTCTGAGTAAACGTAGACATAGAATAAGTATAGAATTTTCCTTTTTTTCTAATGAATTATGTACAATAAAATATCTGTGTTGATTTTTGATCGCAGAAACATCGGTATTTCACTACCATGCGACGTCGAGACCGAAAACAGTGGATCGCGAATGGTTGCGGAGAGAATCGTGTACATTATCGATCCCCGCGATTGACCAGCCAGCCTCTGTCTCTTAGAAAGACGATAAACTCGGCCGACACGTTTTCCCCGATAATAACCGAGCCCGATAACGACACGACATCTCAGCCCAAATGAAAAATATACGGGGATAAACAATGACGGGAGACAGCCCCGCGCAACGACCACTGATACTGCGGCCGACTATCGTTCATGGTTTGCCAAACAGGTTTTCGCGGTTGCATAAGCGACCACGCACCGATCGGCTGTATCTCTCCTTATCATTACCCTTGCATACGACTTTCGCGGCGAACTCGCGTCCAATGATCGCGATGATCTAGAAAAGAAAATCGCGCGGCGCCTAGACGCGGTGAACTAGAATACTCTTCGAACGGGACGATTTTGCTCGAGTGAAATACTCTTTTTTTGCTACAGAGAGACTCCTTGTTTAATATTTACAATAATGA